TAGTAATCGTGCTCCACAACGTCCAATTAATATACAGCCTGCAATTTTTCAGTGGTGAAATGACTCCTTATTCTAAAATGGAAGCTAGGGACATAAAATGGTGTTTATGGAATTTTTCCAGTATTGGGTGGTTTTTAAAAGGCATAAATGGGAGTAAAATGTCCAAATCCCATTGTCTTTCTGGGAGTGGGGTGCTTGACTGCCCTTTGTGCCTTTGAAAATTGCTCCCCATTTTAACAATGTTGTGAGGTTTGGGGGATCTCCCAGACCCGTAAGGGGTTCTGTCACTGCCTGGCTTGTAACATTGGCTGCCTTAGGGCTCACCGTCATCAGCCCACAAACATAGAGGTCTCACCCCAACTTCCACCAGTCTAGTTACTCCTTGCAGGGTGACCATCTACCCCGAGTTCTTAACTACCAGCCACTCAGACTGTTCCCCTCTGGTTCATCACCCTTGAAGGCATGAAACCTGCCCCCAGACACCAGCTCACTTTGGCACACACATTCTACACAGTTTGCACACCAGAGACCTGCCTGGGGTAAAAATAAATAAAAGTTTTTTTTTTAAAATAGAAAAAGCACAGATTCAAAGAGAAAATAGTAAGGAATAGCAAACACATACAAGTTACACAGAAAATAAATATAAAGATGCAACTCCAGGCTTTGCACTTTTATAGTAGGTAAATTCCCTTTTCTAATACAAATTACCTATTACCTGTGAACAGTTTCCCAGCATGCCCCATAGCTGTAGGGGAGAGGTAGCATTCACAGACAGCCTCCAGCCTTCGAGGTTGTCCCTCATGTTCTGGATCCTCTTCAGTTCAACCCTCTGCCGTTTTTAAAGGTTTGCAGTTGATTTTTTTCCCCCTTCAGACACTATACATAGGACAGAGTTTTCCTCAGTTGTGGTTTCTTTGTTTTCCAAGACACGGTCTTTCTTTTCAGTTTCAAGTTGTTTCAATGTTTTCCCATTAACTTTAATGGCCATTTGTCTTTTCTTGGTTTGTACAATACGAAGTGCTTGGAATCAGCCTCTTCCACTGTGAGATGGAGCTGAACATTGCTGTACAAATTACAAGCACAATTTTTATATATACTGTATATACTCGATCATAAGCTGTTTTTTTATAAGCCGACC